TTCAACATAAACTCAATTTCAGCTGAGATTCCTGAATAGTACGTTAGGAAATTCCTGTAACATTTTCAGCAGTGCATAAGAAAGTGCATAATGCAAGCCTCATTACACCTGTTTATTTGAAGTTAGTGACAGTTCGTATGTCGCTAGTCTGAATTTGAATGTGACTTTTAAAGTTATTTACAATATTTTATGCTTGTTCAAAAGCGAAAATGTCAAAAAAAATCTGCTAAAAGAGTTTCCATGGTTTTATTATTTTTACACTTTATTTCTCGGTTAAAATTAGAATAAATAAAAACCAAAGAAATTGCATTCTTTCTTTGGATTTGTGCGCTAGCATCTTTTCGAATATGAATGAATAAAACACTTTGACTTTCTTTTATCACATTTAATGCATAAGTTCGTTATGCATGCTGCTTAATAAAAATATGCATAATAGTAACGTAATAATTGTCATTGTAAAAAAAATAATAAAAAGTCAGCAAACTATTTCTAATTGAGTAACTATAATGCAGCTCCTTGAAGTGATACAAATTCTGCGATTATTAAATAAAACCTTCTATGCAAATGGTGCTTCCTTTAAAGAGATTCCTTTATTTTAATTCCCTTTCTTTTATTTTAATTAATAATAACGGGATTGCAAAACTTCTTCTTTATCTTTAATTGTAGAAGGTGTGGATATTTAGAAGGAAAAAAAGAGGAATAATATACACATCAAACAGGTATTAAAGAGGTCCGGTAACGCAGTGGCTAGCGCTTCGCGCAGCATCCCCACAGGTCCCAGATTCGATCCCTGGGCAAGGTTGGCTCAGCCTTTCATCCCTTGAATGGCTCGATAAAATGAGTTCCAAGTTCTCTTGGACACTCAACACCGAGAATCCTGCAACAAATTCACCACTTGTCCAGGGTATAAGCTCATGCACCCCGTTGCCCACCGTCAACTTTATTTAAAACAGCCAGCACAAACCGTGTCACTTAGTCCACTAGAAGAGTGCACAACATTCACAGGTCCTTTGTCTTGTCTAAAACGCAAACCTTCTAAATTACAACTTCATTAACCCAGATTATATTATATATTAAATTATTCTAACTTTCAAAACCGTGACCTAGATGTTCACAATCTTAGGAATTTCCTCATGAATGTCTCTAGTTCTCCAAGAAAATTTAATGTTTAAGCAGGTGTTTCGGTAGCTGTCCTGAGCAAACTGCTCTGGAAAATGTATAGCATTTATTTCCCTTCAGAATGAAAAGTCGTTTAAAAATGCATTCTTTTCACATACATAGGACTCTGAAATATTGTATAAAAAGAATATATATATATATATGACGTAATTACAAAATGTTTTCATTCAATCATGTCAGAACCCATTGATCTTAATGGTAAGGCACTGAATGTTTTGTTCTCCACGAAGGGATCGCCATTGCTTCAAAGCAGTGAATGGGGAAAGCCAGTTAAGGCCTCTCCTCTTATTTCCTACCTCTATGCAACGCAGCGACGCGAAAGAGTACCGTCACAATACTGTAGCAGACACACTGACTGACTAGTAATCAAAACGAACAGTAAACAGGCGGGCCGAGCCGACCACCTGGCGACGGACGACAGTACTATAGCCAGTAATAGAACTGCACTAGTATGTGACGGTGACTCATCATCCCAATAACGTTCGCGCAGCGCTTAAACTAGCTTCGCGGAGGGAAGGACAATAGCGCGCTTAGACAGAATCATTATTTTATGAATCGCAATATGTTTCTGTCTTTTTTTTTTTTTTTTTTTTTTTTTTTTTTTTTTTTAATTCTGAAAGTCATTTGGATAATCAGTGACTCGGATAGTCGGAGTTTGGATAATTGGAGCTGTACTGTACCTTCGATTTCGATTTCTTCTACTCATTCCTCTGCCTTTTCGAAATTTCATCGACTTTTTCCTTCCGCTTTGAAAATCTTTTGTGCCTTTGTAATGTGCTGACAGAAATCATTGTTTGTATCATTAACGTGTTCAGACACTGTTGAAACATCTGGACAATCATTTTTAGTTAAACAATGATTGTCCAGATGTTTCAACAGAATTTGTCCAGACGTTGATTTTTTGTAGTATCGGAGGTATGAGAATGTTGCTCTTTAAAATTTTGTTCAGAGAGTTAAAATTCTGGACCACAAAGATCCATAAGAATCTTATAGCGTTTTAGGAATATTTGTTTTAATCTTACTTTTGATCAGTTACATATATAAAAGCTCTGACAAAAATTGTATATATAAAAGCTCTAACAATATCGAGGGCCATTGCATGCAGGTCTCACTTCTTCAAGAAGTAATATCCTCTTCCATTTTAATAGAGAAAGGTAGTCCGAGTTAAAGTCTGAGAAAGGTAGTTAGTTGTTTACGTTTTGTTAAAAAAAAATAGTCCACAAGCAATTTCTCATTCTTTTCCTCTTAGAGTTGAAGTTTTTAATGAACTACTTCTGTTGTTTATTTTTAAAATATATTTGCCGTTGTTCCCCAAATTTGTATGAGTGTTCCTAGGTTAAATACTCAAACTTGAACATAATAATTTGTTATGTTAAGCATCATATGTTGCTAAACCAAGATTAAAATTATCTTAAGACCTTTATTGACATCAATTTTTTCCACACCCAGAGCTAAACATTCAGAATCTCAAAGCAATAGCTGGTGCTTATAGCTTTAAATAATTAAACATCCAAAAGTTAACACAATCATTTTAAAATCAGTGGATTATTATTTAATAACTTTACCTTAAATTACTTAAAACATAAGAAAGGTCCTATTGTTGACGGAATACATTCTGAATATAGAAAAGTATTACTCAAAGACAATGCAAAACAATTGGATAAATCAAAGGATCCGATTTGTTGAATTAGGAAGACTGTTATATGCAGAGCTAATCAACAGCCAAAGTTAATAGCCTTTCATTTAAGTTTCAGAGAATTCCGAACCCTGGGCTCATCCAGTATAATCTATTCGAATCTAAGCCGTTACTGCAGGGAGTAATAATCTGCTCAACTTCTTGGCATCAGGCAGCAATTAAAATGATGCTCTTTATCTCCTTGCTACCCCTGCTTTCGTTAATTTTTAGTAGATCTCGTTTGATGTCATTTCGGAAGCAGCGATCTAATCAAATAAGTTTTGCAATAGCGAAAATTGGCTAGGAAGTAGTTTCCGTCAGATCTCATATGAAATCCCTCTATAATAACATTGTATGGCTTCCAAAATTTGTAACAAATTTTAAGTTTTCACTAAAGTTTTAATAATATAAACGAAACGAAGACATAACTTGCCAGTAACGTTTTATATCATAAGTGTAATCAGCGCCCAGTGTAAGACTAACGCTTTATTAGATTTTAAGCGAAATTCTTCCTCTTATATGTATTGGGTGATCTCCCACAAATCTGTAACCAATTTGAAGTTATCGTATAAGTTTAATAATGTAAATGATATAAATATGTTACGGTGAAACACCGAAATCTGGAGAATGTCGACTTTCACCGGTGAATGTCAACATTTACATAGTCGCTTGGTGTATGTCCGAAATATTTTCCAAATATTCTTATTTCTGACTTACACCGGTAAATGTCGACATTTACCACGTACTAATGGTGAATGTTGAACATATAAGAGCATTATATTTTCTTCTCCGTCATTCAGTCGCGAAAAAGCGCACTTGAGACTTAAAATAAGAACTTAAAACACGCAGTACATTCAAAATGAGAAAGAAAAATAATAGAAATTAAAAACTTACTTAATTATACAGTACGTTCTAAATGAGAAAATAAAATAATAGTAATAAAAAACTTACTAAATTGTGTGATTCGGCTAATCTTTGGAATATGGTAACAGGTAGTTTGGCGACATTTTGGTAAGGCGATAAAGGTTGCTAGGTAGGACTTTAGCAATAATCTGAGAAGTAATCACACATTATTTTGTCGAATCACAGATTATTTTGTATCAGAGAAATGAGAGATCATGAGACATGTTATGTGACATTTTCCGGAAATTCGATGATTTTAGCTAATAAGCACTTAGAAATAATTTCGCTGCTAAAGTGCAGAATCACCCTTGTTTGGCGCTTTTTACAAGAGTAAGAATTGGATTTTTGTCAATTTTCTTTGACTTTTTAAATAAATGGATAAAGTCGAGAGTGTGCGCAATGCCATTTTTGTGCAATTCTGGAATGTTGTTTTTTTTTTAAAGTGAAAATACGTCGACGTGCACATGGATACCGCGTATGTACAATTCTTAAAAACGCGGCAAGCAGTGAGCGATTCTGCACTTTCTCCCAATTTCGCACCTAATCTTCGTCATGATTAAGCATTTTTGTTCCATAAAAGCTCTAGCATAAGCGTAATTCGGCTAGCAGATTGTCGGAAAAAATGTTGAGTAAAAAAAAAAAAAAAAGCCTTTATTTCGTTAAAACAAAATGGCGTCTAAAAAAAACTAGCAGATTGCTGTAGCAGGGTTTTTCGCCAAAAAATCGCCAAGTTACCATAATTTGAAGATTTACCTGTGATTCAAATTTTATTTATTGCAACAACTTAAACTATTATGACACTTTATGACCTCTCTTTTCGACCTACACCAGAACATATCTGTGATTGTCGACATACATAGGGTGAGGGTCCGAATGTACAAGAATGTACTGCAATATTCGATCTTTCACCGACGTATTTGGTGAATGTTGACATTCTCCGGTGAAAGTCGACGTTCTCCAGTTTCGGTCTTTCACGGTAACGTATGCATTTCACACTTAACAGCATATCTGAAATAAGCATCCACTGGGAGGCTTTGGAGGGGCCTCAAGATGACGTCATCAGTAATTATTACTTCATTAATTAGTTTTAATATGATTACATTTAAGTGCTAAAGAAGAAGCATTTGAAATAATGCACAGGCTTCTTTCCTCTTCAATATATCGTTGGGAAAAACTGGTTTCGTTCTTAAATTCTTTGTTTATTTTCAGATTCCTTCCTTACATTTCAATTCTTTTCTTTCAGCGAATGGCTGCCCATACGCCGACTACTGGAGCAATTGCCAGGAAATGAACACCACTTGGCACAATTGGCTGTGTGATGATGAAACCACAGATCGTTTCCGCGCCTGCCGAGCTACTTGCAGATGCGAGAATGCTATTCGTTAATTTTTGGAAGCCGAAATGTCTTCCAAATAATAATTATGGAGATATTAATAATTAAGTATGAAAACATGGGAACCATGTCAGTTGTGTTTGAGACATTCGTTTTGGTCGAGAACGTGTCGTATACAATTCTTTGAAAAATAAACTTTCCATTTAAGCTCTGGCTCTGTAGCTTCTAAGTTACTATTACTTCAAAATGAACATTTTTGATAACTTTACTTTTATCATAAGCATTTTAGATTTAAAATTTATGCATCTTTTCAATGATTTTTTTAATTTTTTTTACTCTGAAAATCATATTTCCATATTTAATAAGTATTATCACTAATAGGAGCCTAAGAATGTTTTAAAATACTGACATGTTACTCTCAGAACGCTTTTTCCTCTTAACGACATTATAGATTTCATTAAATTGGATTAATTATTTAAATAACAAAATTAGATGTAAAATTTAGATGAGTTAACTAAATTAATAGTAAACAAAACTTTAAAAAAAATCATAAAAATAATGTAACAAATATAAAAAGGTGTATGGCAACACTTAAGTCACTATCGGAAATTCTAAAAATTGTGTTTTTTAAATGTATTTGATTTTATTGTTGAATTTTGTAAGGCGTAAATGCGAAGAATGTTATATTTAATAAATAAAGTTAAACGCACAAAACATTGATAATGAAAGCCCCCCTCCCAAAAAAAAATATGAAACCTTGCAGATTTTAAATTACGTCCAAAGGGGCGCTTTTTTAACGTTTTGTGTGTTACCTTTATTTTATTAGTCCAAAGGGGCTTTGTCCCTGAAGGGCTATTGTTTTCGTTTTGCGATTTTGCGTTGAATCACTATAAATGTCCGTTTCACTTTTCAAACTGTTGCCACCAAATGTTAGAATTTTGCATTATGTTTGAAGAAATTAAATAATGAAAAATCTGCATCAATGTACTATGTCTATTTCTCGCATTGTGATAAAGCAACGCTACATAAAGCCATCGAATTTTGAATGACGTAATCCTCTTACGAATATGGGCATGTGGAAGACCAAATTTGAAATTTGGAATTTGTTTTGTTATCGATTTTCATATTTTGTAAGACTTTAACGAATTTTTAAGTAACAAACTCAACGATTTAAAAGCGAGCAATGGCAACACGCTACGGCGAGGGGAAAAAAAAAAAAACCTTTTTATCTCCAGCGTTTCGCGGAACGGTGTATCGGAAATTCTAAAGATATGCTCATTTTAAAACTATTTTGCGACATTTCTACTGAACTGAATTTTATGGTTTATGTGCAAAGAACATGATATTTAATAAATAATTAAATATTATCGTAAAAGGTTAATTATAATTAACCTTTTAAGATATTCACTACTGCATATTTCCTCTGTACGATTTTCTAATTTCAAGGCATATGCATTTTTCGAAGAGAGGGAGATCTTAGGTTCATCTGATTTTGAGCTGAATCATATTATCACTTTGTCAGCAGATTTTAGGAACAAAGCATACAGTAGTTCTTCCTCTTATGGAAAAAGGAAGGAAGATTTTGGGGTCTTTGAAGAAAGTTATGCCTAGGTTCACACCATAACCCAGTTATGATGAAATGATTCACTTTTGAGCTAGTACGCTATTAATCAGTTACACAGCAAAAGAAAAAAAAACGAAGTTTATTGTATTCTGCTCTTCAATCGGATAATAGACGATAATTCTATGCAGTTGTTCTTCGATTAAAAATAAGGTTATTCCATCAAAATTTAATCACTGAAATCTAAAATTAATCTGATACACCTAACTATTCATTTAATGTATAGTTTACATTTTAAACACTGTGTTCCAGAAAGAGCCAACTGCACATTACCAATAGCATGCTCACTATAACATCATCAAAGGACTTAGTAGATAGTCTAGTAAAATTTTTTACCTGAAAATATGCATTGAATAGCTTATTGAAATTATACTTAATTACCTTTAACACAAACCGATGCTAAACTGATGCAAACTTCTAGTTTATTGATAAATAGCATTACAAATTTTGTGAATATTTAAACATTTTAGTGAAATTATGTGTAAAATTGTAGCATCTCTTGTATAATGTAACATGAAAGGCCTAAGAGTAAAGTTCCACGGAAAAATAAGGTCGCAGCGGCAAATTTGGCTATCTCGCCAAATTTGCGAGAAGCCAAATTTGCGAGATAGCTACAAGCTGGTGATGGTTTAAGTACGGCTTCTTGCCTGGGGATTGTACTGTCCAGGGCGTGTACTCTTTGGGAAGGAGGCAATGTTACGAATTTTGAATATAAATAATTTTAGTGAAATTATGTTTAAAAGTATAGTATCTTTTGTGTAATGTAGCATGAAAGTCTTCAAGAGTGAAGCTTCGACAGAAAAATAAAGGTACAAGGGTAAGTCTATTTAATACTGATTTAAACATCTCTCTCGTCAAATTTGGAAGATTAGCTGGCGGTTTTGGCGACTAATTTTTATCTCTAAATTTGGAAAGATATCATTAAATATCGCCCAACATGGCGACTATTGGGCGAAATTTTGGTCCGGTTCCTGTGTAACTGTAATTGGTACTGTAATTGATTCCTATATGTAACTGTAACTGCCTTCCAGCGATTTCGAGAAAGCGCAGGTACTGGAAATTTCTCGGTGGCTGCGGGAAAAATATATAAGACTGATGAATTACATTTTAAATATTTACTTGAGCTTTAATGTAGAATTGGGTGTCCCTTCGATTGGTGACATTTAAAAAAAAAATTTTGGCGATGAAACCTCACTTCTGAAGTTAAACGATAGTTTTAACTTTGTTTTAGCTTCCCGATTTTATTTAAATGAAAATAGATTGATGTGTACATGGACATATTTAAGGCAGTGCGCAATGCCTAGTTTTTGCAATTCTAGGATGTTTTTTTGAGTAAAAACAGATCGATGTGTACATGGGTACAGATCTTAAAGCAATTCTTCGACTTCTTATTTTGGTTTTGTGTAGCGGCCATCTTGAAATTGTGACTTCCTGGCGCCGATCTTGGCGTCAAAAAAGAATCGCCAATAAACAAGGGGCACCTAATTGTAAACTTTTACCATTTACTTGTAATTTTGTATATTTCTAGATAAAACCTAGGTATCTCCATAACCAATCAGATGCCTTCATACAGATTATATGACAAACGGTCACATCTCTTTTCTTACTTTCGATCATGCCCCTTCATGTGCTGAGCAGAAATACTTAACGTTATGCACCCTTATGGCAATTATTTGCAAAAGCCGGAAGACATCGGGTAAATTTGTAAGGATCTTAAGTTTTAGTAACGTTTATTTTTATTTTAAAACTGTACTATCTTTCTATTTTCCGGCCAGAATTAAATACGTTAACTTGTTTATGTAAATTGTTTTGGTTTGGTTTGGTTTACTTAATTACGGCAAAGCACACTAGGGCTGTCTGCCTAAGGGGAGGGAGGCCTTCGTGGAGGACTTTCTAAGGGGAACTGGCTAGCAAACACGTTATACATGGGGAAAAACACGCAAAACGGCCATGCAGCCAGCCCGTTCGCGGGATTCAAACCTCGGACCGAACTACCAGTGTTCAGCGACTTTGCCGCTCGGCCGCTGGTGGGCTTATGTAAATTGTACTTGCCCAAGTATTTAAGTTGCGGCTTTTTGCCAAGAGAGAGAGGGGGGACATCAAGCATGCTAAAAGAGAAAACGCATTGAGGAAGAAACTGAAGGTCAAAACCCGTACAAGATGTAGGTGTGTGTGTGTATGTGTGTATTTAATTATGGCAAAGTACACTAGGGCTATCTGCCTAAGGGGAGGGATGCCTTCGTGGAGGACTTTCTAAGGGAAACTGGCTCGTATACCGTTACACATGGGGAAAACCACGAAAACACCCATGCAGCCAGCCCGTTCGCGGGATTCGAACCTCGGACCGAACTACCAGTGTTCAGCGACTTTACCGCTCGGCCGCTGGTGGGCTACAAGATGTAGGATAAACCACACGATGGTCTTCTCTACCTTCCAGGACTGGGCGGCCAAACGGATGTCTGAATATCGCAAAGATAAGTAAAACGTTATGTTACTTTGAAACTTGAACTTAATTTTTTGTTCTTACTGCAAGTGGCAGACTGTAAGGAAAAGTTTTACCTCATGTGAGGTCTACCTTTATCGCCAAAAAGGCGAGAAATTGAGTTTACCTATTTGCTACTATTTTTCAACTACTCACGAGTAATCTAAAATTACTGTATAATAATACTGTGTAAATACTTGAGTATTGTAAAAGCTTTTGTAATTTATAATAAAGGTACCTTAAGAACATTGTAAAAATATTGTATAAAGTTTTATTTAAAAGATTCGGTCAAAAAAAAGAAATTTTAGTCTAAAGGACTTTTGTAATGTAAGTATTTAAACATAAAAGAATTAACACTTGCTTCGAAGAAATGGAAGTTAACATTTTTTTACTAATGTATGTTTTAAAATGCGTAAAATTAATGGCATGTTAATTTGTTTTTATGTACAATGCGAACTGTTATTTTAAAAGTTAAGAAGTATTGTGATATGTTAAAAATGAAAATGTTGTAGAAATGCCGAAATTTTAACTTATTGGTGTATAACTGTACAAAGAGTTACGCATTGTGAACATGTGCTAAATGTTGAATGAACGTAGTTAGGCTCTCTGACGCTACATTTCAGAGTTAGCCACTTCTTGAGAATAGCACCTCAGGGCTCAGAGATGAATATAAGGTGTGTTCTGAGGTCTTGTTATGTTGAATTTTAACACGTTAGTGTTTTGATTGTAGGCGGTAGTGTTGAACACTTGTACATACAGTTAGTCAATAAAGTCTGCGTACATCGAGAAAAGTAATATCAAATCCAAATTTTAAGTTGCGAAAAGGGTAGTTTCCTTAAGTTTTATGTTTTTAAATATTTAGTTTCAATAAGGGACTTTGAAATTATTTAACTGTAATATTTTCATATCTAATAATTTATGCACACTAATTTTAAAAGATAAGTGGCCAGAATCAAAGCCAATAAAGTTTGCGTACAACGCGAAGGAGGCGGGGGATTTCTTATCTAACTTTTAAACTTCAAACTTGAGAATGCAAAGAAGGTTACACTTTCAAGGTCATTGACTTCCGAAGCAAATTTCACGTTGATTGGAAGTTGTTATTTCTATTTT